AACTATCAACACCCACGTTCATCACTACCACAATTAGGGGGTTGAGTCATATGTAAATGATTTGAGAGCTCATTTCTGCTTGAAACTCTGATTTCGGTCTATTTTTGAATTTCACTTGCCTGAGTTTGCATTGTTACAACTAACCAAATCAAACTTACTAAATATTCACCCGGGTTCTGAGCAGCAAATACGTCAAGCTGCTAATAGACTGGAATAAACGCTATGTAAGAAGCACAATTATTTCGAAAATCGACGTGTGACGGAAAGTATGCTGTCAACAGCTGATAAATAACGACATCCAAAATCATCTATAGCATGTGGGTGAAGACTTGTGCCATGACTTTTCGATCATGCTGAAAAATATTGCACGAGTAATTTGAATTTCGGTTCGTTACTGTCGAGATTTACTTTGCCTTACATCTGACTTGAAAGCTACCCATCCACTATTACCGTAGTTGCGTTTTGGGAAAGTCTACGAATAACCAGTTTTTGTATGACACTCAATATTTTTAATTTTGCTTATCCTAAACATTAACTCATCAGTTGGTCAAGCATTGCAGTTAATCTTCTGTCTATCGGTTTGTTCGAACCAATTAATCATAAATAACTACTGTTTTCACGAGCTATTACAAAATTCCTTCACATAGTGTTGGCAGTTGATCCTAAGATACCTGAATAAAACATTGTAGTCCTTTGCACATTGGTTTGTTTTTTTATTCTGAAACACAATTGCAGACAGTTTGGAATCAAAACTTTTCCTATATGATTGATGAAAAACTTGTTGTGTCTCCTAAACTGGTTGAAGACTTTTATAGTTCAATGGAGGTGAAACCTAATGATTGTAATATAACTTCTTAAATACATTCAAGGTAATTGCGATCTGAATTTGCGTTAGATAGAAAGTGAGTTTCTATCACTTAATTGTTCCTGAGAATTGAATGATGTGAAAACATTCTCAGAATTTTATAATGCTACCGTTATTGTCGATTCTAATACTTTTCAATGTCACGAAAGCTGTTGTTCATGGCGAAGTGATGACACATGAAGACATCGTACTGCCAGTGAAATAATACTGGATCCTAGTCAGATTAGGTTGTCATTTAGGAGGTATTTCGACCACAGGGAACTGAAATTTGTGCCCCAAATGATTTCATCCTAACTCTTTAATGATAGCTAAGCCTACTAATTGGTCAGTGGCGGAGATCTGAAGCTTATGATAGTGTTGTTCGTCGCCGGCGTAAGTGATCTGTGTCAAATATTTGAAGGTCTGCTAGAGTTAAACGGTAATGGTGTGACCAACCAGATAGCACCGAAGATACTTTTTAAGGCCATTACCTAACGTGAATTACTCCAGGTACTATGGTTACTTTGATGACCGTACCACACAAACGACGTTTTTACAGAAATATATTAGTCAGAATGGGTACAAGGAACATTGTGACCACCACCATATAAGTCAGTCCCTTCCGTGAAATCCATTGATTCTCGCTGTTTGTCCTTGACCCTGGAGGAGATCGGTAAACCATCCGATATTCAGTGGCCGGGCTGCCGGATGACCTCGCTAGGTTCAGTGACAATTGACTCGCTCTGAAACGTGTTTATGACCTGTTTTATGCTTCCTTCTCCTAATCTGTTCTCGTAACCACGACCCTTGTTTGGACTATCAGTTTTCTAGGTGTACTCACACATTACGATACACTGTACACCTGGTATCGATAGCCCATCACACGAAGTCATTGTACAGCTTAGCTTGAGTGTAGGACATCACAAGCTGATCAGTTACAACTCTAGTCATTTTTAGTGACTTGAGAAAATTAGCTAAACACATATAAATTCATTTCGATTATAGTCGAAAACTTATTATATGATTAAAAGTTTTGACCTACGTTTTCATCTTCATCGATGTAGGTTATATACACTTAAATTCGTGTTGGAACATCAAGACAGTTTTTTGTAATCGTGAAGTGACGACGCTGGTAATCATAGATATCATAAAGGCAGTAGAAAGTCTGGGAGTTCCTGGTAATACATGATTCAGACGGAGATTAATAGTTTACTACGAAAAGTTTCGTAAGCTTTGTAAACTCTGACTGATCTTGTTAGTTTTACTGTGCAACAACGTTATCTCGACAATCAGTATAATACGTCATTCCCTCAACCATCGTCTTAACCTACCTACTTTATTTTTAATCTTCTTCGCTAAAAGACGTGCACAACGATAGTGATCGGTTTCTTCTTGTTCGAAGTACTTTAAGTGTGGTGACTGGTATATGATGCTACACAAAGTATTTTGTGATTTTTTCCCGCACTTTAGTCTACATATACATGTGCTGAGGTTTATATAGTTATCTTGCCTTCTTTACCCACCTATCCAGTTTGCATGCAAGCATGTCTATATCTTCGTTATATCTAGACATGTAAGCAGAGTCGCTCGAGTTAAAATATCTGCACCCTTTACTTTTAGGCCGATCACCTTTCGGCCTGTTGATAATAATAATAATATATTTCTGCAATAGCAGGTACACGCCATTTATACAGGCATGGTCTACAATTTACAACATATACTGGTTCACAGTATGCATCCCAAGCAAGGTTATTTAGTAATTATAATCTATAAAAGTTGATAGCAGTTCATTCGTTCACATATAATGTGTTTTTATAAGAATAGTTTGCAAAGGGGCATGGCGTCCACGTTACATGCCAGATCCAATCTCGACAAAAAGTGAATTAGGGTTTCGGTCGTGCTAAGTATTTATGTAATGCAGCTTCTTAAGTTTATGGTGATATGGAATTATCATTCCAATATGCTGTCCGATATTTGAGAGTAATACTTGACTGAGCTTCTTATGTTCTTAAAGTCATAACTAAACTAAATGAATAGATATTTCAGGATCGAGGTCTCTGTTAATGATACTCTGTGACCCTATGAAATTCAAAGGTAAGTCTTTCCTATTTTAACTCTTTATTTCGAGTTCAGTATTAGCCCACGATTTTAGAGGGACTCGAAACAAATGAAGTACTTTGATGCGATCGGTTCTATTGAGTAAATGGTAGCGGCAACTACCATACAACACTTCAAAACACGACTTTCTGACACGTAAAAGATAAATCATGGTGAGTTTTTTATTCGAGCAAGAACAAGTATTACAAAAAGGGTTAGTGAACCTCTGCTTTTACAGTTACGAAAATATAGCCCTCAAGTCTCCGTACATTAAAACAACTAAGAGCAATGGCTACCGATCAAAAGGAAGTGAAATTCATGAGAAAACCTGAATCATAAAAAATACAAGACTTGTACTCAGTGGAAGGTATGTTCATATATGCGGTGGTCATTCACTTAATGTACGGAAGAATGCCCGAAAGCACTCGATGACTGGTACATACTAAACATCGTAAAATGAATGTTTTACAAATTCATGGACAAGAATATTGTATCATTTGAAACAGCTGAATCTCCTACCGGAATCTCAGTCGCTTTTCATACCATTCGAACTGTTATGTCAGAAATATATTGTGATTATTCTTCGTCGCGAAAAACTCTCACACAGCCTTAAGTGAGGTTCAAAATCTTTGCAAAGATTTGAAGAATTACCTAAACCTGTCAAACGCCTACGAATCATATCGAACTTAACAAAGAGGATCTTACCGCAAACTATCATTTCAGCTACGTGATACACAATATTCTTTGGGGTCAGTAAAATGTCAAATAGTCTAACGACCTTTGTCATGGTCAGGAATAACCAGCACCCATTATCTAATACCATTTCATAGAAAGATTGGTGGCCCAGTGCTTCCTCCCTGTACTTCTGCAACCCACTAATACTCATTAATTCTGTTGTCTGTTGTGAGTACTCACTCGAACCACTCTGGAAGTCGTTCTAAATGGTCATCACGATAGCGCGACAGGTTTCAAATATTAACCGTGAGGCACGACACAATATTTCCATCAAATTCCAGCAAACCTGAAACCCTGGACACGAACCATGTAATTTGGTGATTTACAACGTTGAATGACGTTGATACTATAGAATCTAAAGGAAACTTTGCAGTTACCATAACCTCATCCATATACAACGTGATAATGACACCGTAACCTTTCTATATAGCTCAATGCTGTAGAATATTGTTATCATTGAAAAGATTAGCTTTTTTGTCTATATGGGGAACTTCATCCTCAGTGAGCGTTGACCATCTACATATGATACACGGCGCCACCAATACAGGCACATTGATGGGGTTGGGCGCACATAAACTGATGTTCACGAACTCGTACGGTACTGGCCAACCTGCTCCTAGCTGTAACTTGTTCACAAACCTTCAAACAACTGCAACCAGTGAGGAACATCACAAAGGTGACGAACAGTTTAGTGCTTCTAAAGCAATATTAGGGAACCTAGGAGGAAATTAGATGCAATCGAACACAAAGTTTTTTCACTTGGAAATGAAGACCAAATTCATAAATGAAACTCAGCTCTCTTCTGACGCTATGGACGATAAGGTGGGCATGCAAGAGACCTCCGAAAGATGCAACATCAAAGGGCGGACAGTCAGGTGCTCTCCCACCTTTTCTCACTAAGGAGTTCCCTCAATTTTAACACTATTACAGAGGAAGTGACCACACTCCCCTAGGCGGACACCTAGCTCCAAGACGCGCCTTGACAAAGATGCACTCATCCACAAGTTCGTATATTCCTCTTGGACTAGTTATGCCTGATTGGTGTCGTTAAGAAATCACCATTATCGTTTTCCCGTGCCACCAACTTATATCTATTACTATTATTTTCATCTACGCCACACTTTTATTCTTAAACTTAGGTGTGACAAGACCATCTAGTTTATCAAACTATTCACTTGTTATATCAGCACCTGATGAAAGTAACAAACATATAATATATTAAAATGTTCTTTTGTTTTACCGGATTTAAACTCACCTGTAGTTGGTTTATTAGATTGACGACATTTCGAAAATGGTCGTTGTTCTACAAACAAATGTTTGACGTGGACTATATTTAGTTGAAAAGACATTTGAAGTTGATGGATCTTTCCAGCATTCACGTTCTGGTCTTCAGCGCTCTTTATTTACAGGGAAGATAAGGTTGCACACCGGTATGTAGTTTATAGCGTTATAAAATATTTCTTCATAAATGGAGAAATATTTGTAAATTAGTTGTATAATCATTTTGTGTCTCACGTAAAAATTGCACTAAGTTCAAGTTGATGCTAAGAAATCTCTGTATATTTTAGAATTGATGAGTATATTTACTTAACAACACAGCTGTAGCTGATCAGTACGGTAGTGCGAAAATGAAACGGTTTCTCTGTTTTAGGTAAAATGATGTAAAGAAAAATGGTTAGGCGGGTTTCTATATTCATCAGGTAAAGTTTATGTCCGTGAAATCCTTTTTCATGTTTCTGTATGTATTGTCAGGTTTGCAATCTCAATGTGTGGAAGGCAAATATGAGTAATAGTTTTTGAGGGAAGTATATATTTTTGGGAAGGTAAAAGTGTTAAATTTGTGACTTTTTTACCTGAATGGGCAACGTTTTGATGCACTGTTGTCTATATTAACGCCGAATTCTCATAGGAATTTTCCCCAGAATTTGCCTTTTTTGTTTGCTTGGGATGACTGATTTCCATCAAGGCTCTAAAAGTTCATACTACAAATGACAAACCAGTGTCATTTGTTGCTGCTTTAAATGAGACAAAAATTTGTGGACAATCTTTGGGCAACCAAATAAGTGAATGAATTTCGGCCCGAAATCCAAGACCTGTTATTTTAAATATGACTGATTTGTCTCGCCTCATCACTAATTTTACAGGTACTCACCTCCAACTACTGTTCATAAGAAGAAACTAATCTTGTGGCGTTAGTCATCTCGCTACTTTACTGCATACAGTGAAGAATGCAATCTTATCTTGTTTTCTGCACTAAAAGCATGCAAACATTTGAATTTTTCCATTCGCCTTTCAGTTAATTCACTTCAAGTAAATACTGGGAAGGGCTTGAGGTTGTATTCGATTGTGCTTTTCCCCCTGACGACACTTCACCATCCACTCTCCGTATTAGTTTGTCGCTAAGGAAGTTTACCAGTATTTGTTATTCACTCGTAAACACTAATTGATATCTTTACGCCCGTTTCTTGTTTCGGTACCGTTTCAGGTCTGTTGTAATATCCAGTGGGCTTTATCCTATCCAGGTTGTCTAGTATTATCATTGATCCCTTAGCATTCCATTTTTATTCGGATTCTTCACTGTAGAGATTTATTAAGTTCATTACTAAATCATATAAATGGTGCATATTCCTACCTATTGTCGCAGCTTAATCTCTTGTAGTGTTCACGAAGCTTGAGTGACAGAGATCAAAAATGTAACTAAAAGTTATTCTCTTTCATGTGACGTAAGATTTCATCATGGAAAATCATTTTCGCTACTTTGACTGCTGGTGAGATAATTATTTACTTCTTGCTCCTTCCTAGTTTTATAACCTGCATTAGCTCTCTATTTATAACGTTCATATCGAATAAAGGGATATGAATTGTTGGAGAGTTGAACATTTAGTAAAAACCTGCAAATTCTACATTTTAACGTAGCTATTAAATGAATGTCCAGCGGATGAACAACCATATATTAATCTCACTAGGGAATGTAAAGTGACTCATAGATTAAATAATACATCCATACCATGACCATCTTTCGATCTCTGTTAAGTTTGTTTAGTGTTCTGCTTCAAGAATGATACTCTTAGATACTTTTAGGAATTATACAAGGGTTAGGTATTCCCTTACAACTTTGTGGCATAGACCTGGAATAATACAGTTTTATGAAAGTAAAATCTATTACTTCTAAATCCCATCACTAACTATATGAGTCTCATTATAATTCCTCGAGTTCGATGATATGGCATAATTTTCTCCTTAGAAGGTGCTACTTAGACACTAATGTCATGTTTTACTTGTGGTATAAAGCTGGTTTTAAATTCCTGTCATATGTAAAACAATTTTAATTCTAGACATACGAGGCAGGTTCCATAGAATCTCTTTTAATTAAAAATGCCTCTAAGCATTTCTGGGTGAAGTAGTTTATGCTTTCCGGGAAATAGGGTTTCAGCCTATTATCTACTAGATGTGTAATATTAAGGACTCAGTTTCCATTATTGTCTCAAATGCATATTTTGTTGTTCTTTAAAGCTTGGAAAACTGAATGCGCTTTGGGAAGTTTTTAAATCTAGATGGGATACAAATGAGATTCCTAAAGAAAATCGAGGAATTCTTTCACTACTTTCTAGCACTAATTGTTTCAAAATTTGCTTCTACCAGGGCAAAACTGAGAAGAGTGGTAACATGTAATCTACTATATGAAAACCACAATCTTCCTTACTCTTGCTAAAAAATGTGGGTCGTAATTTCACTGGTAATCATTTTACGTCAAAACAGTATCGTTTATGCATAATAACGGCATATATTTTCTGAGTTTCACTTACGACTTTAAGAATTCTTAAAACTACTTTGGTTTTTAAGTCGCTTAAACTTATGAGACATTGTTATAGAAATTTCATCGTGATGAATGGAAGTTACTAGTTGGATTATCCATACTGTGGTATATCTAAAATTGTCTAGTTAGATTATTTGTACCGAATAAGTACTCTATGGAGATGTTTTGTCTTCTACCTAAACGGGAGGCTTTTGTCGACTGTGTATTTTCTCCATACAGTATACTTAAGCTCATTTTCCTGGGTCTCTTAAAACCCATCCATCTTTGTTCATGTTCCTCATTAAGATTCCCATTCTCAAGATTTAATTGATGATATACCATTTGTATTCATGCTTTGTAAACCGTCCATGTGTCTTCTACCTAAATTCTATTAAAATGTTACAGGTGCGATAGCTTTTTTTAATTTGTTAGTTATTTTCACAGGTCATCTCAATAATGGAAAATGTGCGATTTACAAAACTAGAGAAGCAAAGGGAACTTCTGCGTAGCAAGCAAAGGCAAAAGTATGCACACCAAGTTTTATCACTTCAAAAACGCACAGAGAGTGCTGGTATCAGTAGTTGTAAAGCTAATAGTTGGAGAGAAAATAAATTATCAGATCAATCAGCTTTGAGTTTCCCAACAAAAGATACGACTGATGGAAATTATTATGGTAAGTCTTCTCAAACAACTGTCATTGTAAGTATTATGAAGGTCTAATCAGTTTTTTGCTGTAATTTTAGTTGTTGAGTGATGATATATTCAAATTTCTGTCAGCTGCCCAAATTTTTCTGAGCATACTCTGGATGCAACATCAAAAGTTGAGCGACGATTTGGATGGTATTGAGTGGTTTTTATTTAATATTTGTAACTACTAGTTAGTAAAACTCCCACCATTTTAGTAGAAATGCACGAGGCTTGTATTGTGGGATCATTGACTTGGAATTAAATTGTCTTAAGACGTAACGACGTGAATGTTTAATAACACAATATCTAACAGTTGAATTCATGAGTCAATTGAAGCTAGATCACCTTGAAAAAACCTGGAAGCACTAGACGGCCGTTTTGTCCTTGTATGGGACTCGTCAACAGTGCGCATCCACAATATGTTTATTGTAAAATAATACGGAATCAAGATTTCGGATTACATTACACCATTATTCATGATGTCTGTTGTTCATTGTGTGCCTTTTATTTACTCAGACTATCGATTCGCGCTATTTTTCGACCCGTTTGACTGTCCCTTTCTTTCTTAAGTTCCTCTCAGCACTTGATGACCTTAACTGTTTTTAGGAATTCGACCCTTTAATAAGATTTCCAATACAAATAAACTGATTGGTCGTGTTTTCAATCCACGTATTTTAATTTACTTTGCTGAATTATAGCTATTTTTGTTAGAGTCCATACATTTCTTACATTTAGTGAGAAATTACGTCTAAGTTTATCAATCACTTTGGGTTTACTAATCTTTTAAAACGACGACCTTCGTGTTACTTGAGTGGCATTTAGCTGAAGATCGTTTATCCCAAACAGTTTCACGACACAAAATACTTTGATTTGCTGTTATAAAAGCTTAGATTGAACTTCAATTATAATCGGTGCTAGAACTCGTTTTAAAATAAGTTCATTAATATTGACCAGTGCTACTATATTTGGCTTCAGTTGTTAGTCTGTTTTCCTCTTTATCTCTTCTACAATTATCAGTATAAACCAAGGTGAAGTTCGATTTGAAGCTCTCATCGTTTCGATTTAGTGTGGCTTTAGTCCGCCCATGCTCAAGTTAATATTTCACCCTGTGTAAATGTTTTAGCATATGACGGTCCGCAATCATGTGATACATCAAACCCTGATGATTTTCCTACAAGTGAGATTCAAGTTATTCATGTTCTCACAAAACCTACTCCATTGGGACAACCAACGTTTGATCAAACGGTAAAACGCAAATCAAACTGTGAAGTAATACAAGATAATGTAGTGGATAGTGGAGATTACAAAAGTAATGATGGTCTGAATAATCTAACCATCACACGGTCGAGTACTATGTTATCCTCTCTTGACCAAGATACCTTTCTGGATTCTACTGGTAAGTTATTCAAATTACGCATAACTTAAAGCTTACAGTCGATGATATTGATATTTCTTGAGTGAAACACTTAAAAACGTGACGGAATCCAAAATAGATAGACTAACATATTTCCTAATGTGGTTTTGCAGATATTTTGTTTGATCTGAAGGTGATTTTCATTACAGGTTGACCATTTAAAGTAGATTCAGAGTACTTTGTGATATTTGAACTAAACTTTGGTGCGTTTCTTGACTTTCTGTTGTACTAAGTCTCTTGGGTCTTAAAGTAATGGAGATAATCAAACTAAAACATAATTCTAATTCATAAATTCATCGATTCCTTGTTTCAATCTTTTTGTTCCTAAGTGATATACAAAATAATATAAAATGAAGGTTTAAGACACGGCTTGCAAATCATACAAATAGGATAACTTTTAGATTTAAAAACTGATCATATAAGAAACCTAGTCGTTTATGTCTTCCCCAAGAGTTTCTTAATATTCCTGAATTTTGTAGAGGACAGTGGTGACGAAAATTACGAACGAAATAAGAATGCGGAGTCTCACTCTGGTTTTATGATTCAGAAACAAGTAGTGAAGATACCAGACAATCCCAGCAGTCATCTTCATAAGGATAGTTATAGCACAGTCGCGAATTTTGCCAAATACAACGACGAAAACTCAGATAGTGGTAATAATGCGGATCCTGTTGAGAAGAAGGTTAGTCCTGTATATCACATCATACCAGTTTTTAGTCTATTACGTAACATGAGTTTCTGAATTTTTCTGTTTGAAGCGAAAGAAATAATTATGAAGCTGATTAGTGCTTTGTGTGATAAAATGGTGTTATAAACAGTAAAGAGAGGATACTGATTATAACTCTAGGGGTTCTGGTTATAACAGTCCTTTCACTTTTTACACGTATGTGGGACGTTAATTTACCTTAGACGAATATCTACACTAGATTCCCACCCAGTGTCTATTCTACAGGACTTCAACACAACTCAGATCAAGAACACGAGATTAGCCTGACTATAACGTCAATATATTTCCACACCAAAATCCGACACAAGAAACAGTCAATCAATAAATGTCCATACATAATCGGGATAGGGGAATATATATATAAATTATCAGAAGGGGTTTTGTGGAGATTTAGTATTTTTGTCATAGTAGAAAGCATGAGTCAATTGAATATATATATAACACATAACACCTGTCATCCTATCTAATGTCTGACTCATCAAGACAACCAATCATTGTCATTCTCGCCCACACATCAAATGGTAATTAAAACTGCTGTATTTTCTACTTACACCAATAACGCTACTTCCATAATTCACTTTAAATATACACTAACATTGATTTATTCACCGAAAAGTTCTGTCCCCAACTGTCAGTTAGAACAGCATAAAGCTAACCATGTACTCAGGCCTGAAACTCACACTTTGTAAGTCCACATTTAATGCGTTAGATGGATTAGGATAATTGTAAAACTCCACAAATCAGTTGTTCAGTATATACGCGTTATAGATATATATCCTGACCCACACGGCATCGTGTTCCATAGTTCCTCCTTTCCACTTATACGCCCATTTATAACTGAGTACCTTTCAATTAAAAACCTACTTTACATATGACGATTCAGAATACTAGTTATCATCCTTAGATAGCCACAAATGTGGTTTCCGGTAATAGCTTTAATATGAAGTTGTTAAGTTCGGCGAAGTCTCTGATGTTGTTCACTGAATCAAAGTTTATAATTTTCTCATCTCCACTTTTGTTTCCTCATACTGTGAATTCTCCACAAATGTGTTAACACTGAATCCGTAGATGAATTAGTACTGAGGGTGATTAGGGCTTTCATTCTCACAGTAAAATGACTGGTAAAGCATATTAATTATCCGCATATTGTAAAGTTAGCTTTCGACGGAATTTATCAAGTCACACGAACTACATTTTGCAGACTTTGGATCGGGAGCGTAGTTATTAGAATTCTCCTAATGTACAGTTGATAGATAACTTAATTACTTACGCCTGTTACTCCCAATGGAGCATAGGTCACTGACCAGCATTTTCCAACCCACTCTATCCTGGGCCTTCCTTTCTAGTTCTATCCAATTTTAGTTCATTCTTCTCATATCTGTCTCCATTTCTCGGTGTAATGTGTTCTTTGGTCTTCCTCTTTTCCTTTGGCCTTCAGGATTCCATGTGAGGGCTTGTCTTGTGACACAGTTGGGTTCTTTCCTTAGTGTTTGTCCTATCCACTTCCAGCGCTTCTTCCTGATTTCTTCCTCCACTGAAATCTGGTTTGTTCTCTCCCACAGTAGGCTGTTGCTGATAGTGTCTGACCAACGGATCCGAAGTATCTTGCGTAGACAACTGTTAATAAACACCTGTGACTTCTGCATGATGGCTTTCGTAGTTCTCCAGGTTTCCGCTCCATACAGTAGAACTGTCTTGATATTTGTGTTGAAAATTCTTATCTTGGTGTTGGCTGACGATTGTTTTGAGTCCAAGATGTCGTTCAGCTGTAAATATGCTGCTCTTGCTTTGCCGATCCGCGTCTTCACATCTGCATCAGACCCACGGTGTTCATCGATGATGCTGCCCAGATATGTCAAGGTTTTCACATCCTCCAAAGCTTCTCCGTCAAGTGTAATTCGATTGGTGCATATTGTATTGTATCGGAGAGTCTTGCTTTTCCCTTTGTTTATATTGAGACCTACTGCTGCTGAGGCTGCTGCTACACTGGTCGTTTTCTCCTGCATTTGTTGTTGCGTTTGTGATAGAAGGGCCAGATCATCCGCGAAGTCTAGATCGTCAAGTTGCATCCTGCCTGTCCACTGTATCCCGTGCTTCCCTCCAGATGTTGACATCTTCATGACCCAGTCGATCATTAGGAGAAAGAGGATAGGCGAGAGTAAGCAACCCTGCCTGACACCAGTCTTTACCTCGAATAAGTCGGTGAGTTGTTCTCCATGCACGGTTTCGCAGTTTAATCCATCATAGGAATTCCGTATAATATTGACTATTTTCTCAGGTACGCCGTAGTGTCGGAGAAGCCTCCATAGTGTTGTCCTGTCCACGCTATCAAATGCTTTCTCGTAGTCGATGAAGTTGATGTAGAGTGGTGAATTTCATTCAATTGATTGTTCCACAATGATCCGTAGAGTTGAGATTTCGTCTGTAAACGATCGATCCTTACGGAATCCAGCCTGTTGATCTCGAAGTTGGGCGTCTACGGAGTCTCTCATTCTGTTTCACAATACCGTGTTGAAGAGTCTTCCTGGTATTGAAAGAAGAGTGATGCCCCTGTAGCTGTCGCACTTGCTAAGATCGTCTTTCTTTGGTATCTTGATCAGAAGTCCTTTTTTCCAGTCTGTTGGTACTTGTTCATCATCCCAAATCTTACTGAAGAGGATGTGTAATATCTTGGCAGTTGCTGCTACATTTGCTTTCAGTACCTCTGCCGGGATGTTGTCTGGTCCCGCTGCTTTGCCGCTCTTGATTTGTTTAATGGCCATGCTGATCTCCTCAATTGTTGGTGGGCCAACATCGATTGGGAGGTCTGTGGGTGATGTTTCGATGTTGGGTGGGTTCAGTGGAGCTGGTCGATTCAAGATTTCTTTGAAGTGTTCTACCAACCTGTTTCGTTGTTCTTCAATGTCGGTGATTACTTTGTCTTCCTTGCTTTTCACTGGTCGTTCTGGTTTACAATAATTTCCAGAGAGTTTCTTTGTTGCATCATACAGTTATCTCATGTTTCCTTCTCTTGCAGTTTTTTCTGCTGTCATTGCTAAATCTTCCACATATTTACGTTTGTCGATTTTGATGTTCCCCTTCACTTGCTTGTTTACTTCTGTGTATTTGGCTTGTGCCTTGGCTTTTTCTGCTCTTGTTCGGCTGCTATTGATTGCTGCCTTCTTGTTCCTCCTTCCTTCAATCTTATCCAGTGTATCAACAGTGATACATTCCTTGTGATGGTGCTTCTTGTGACCCAGAATCTCATGACACGTTGAAGTGATTGCCTCGTCGATCCCTTCCCAGTTGCTCTCCATAGTAGTTCCGTCTCCAATGAGTAGATCATGAACGGCCTGGAACCTATTGTTGAGGGTTATCTTGAATTTGTTAGTATTCCGAAGAAAAGCCATGTTATACTTTTGTGATGTTATCCGCCCCGTTGTCCAGTGCTTTTTAAGTTTTAATTTCATCTTGGCGACCAGCAAATGATGATCTGATGCTATATCACCTCTTTTGGTTCTCATGTCCTCAATCGTCATCCTGAACGTTTTGTCGATGCATATATGGTCGATTTCGTTCTGCGTTGTGTGATCCGGTGACGTCCAGGTGGTTTTGTGAATGCGTTTATGTGGGAATATTGTGCCGCCTATGACCAGTTTATTGAAGGCACATAGGTTTGCAAATCTCTCATCATTTTCGTTCCTTTTTCCTAGTCCATGACGTCTTCGTATCCAGTATTGTCCTTTCCAACCTTGGCATTTAAATCTCCAGTCAGAATGGTCAGGTCATTTGTTGGGCACTTCTCGAAGATCGACTGCAGCCTATCGTAGAATTGGTCTTTAACTTCTTCATCGTAGTCGTTGGTAGGCGCATAGCATTGGATGACGTTCATTGTAATGACCTATCTCTTTGTTTTGAAGGAGGTTTTGATGATCCTTGATCCATGAGATTCCCATCTTATAAGTACATTTTGTGCTTGTTTGGACAGCATCAATGCAACTCCTTGTATATTTAGAGCATTTTCTTCTTCATGGCCGGCGTATAACAGCAGCTCTCCTGAAGCTAGTCTTTGTTGTCCTGCCTGCGTCCAATGTGTTTCATTGATTCCAAGCACCTCCAGGTTGTATCTTTTCATTTCTGCAGTAATTTGAATAGTTCTCCTGGTCTCCCACATTGTCCGGACATTCCATGTACCTATAAAAATTGTTGATCTGGTTGTCAGAAGGGGCATCGACCTCGTGGCTTCCATCATGAAGCGTCATAATCCTTCCTTCAACTCCCAGGGAAGAGTTTAAATAGTTTGAATTATTTTTTCTGGCTAGCGTTTTTTTAGCGAGTTAGTTTTCTACGGAATGGGGTTGCTAACCCTATGCCCAACCTCCTTTATCCGGTCATGGGACCGACAGTAACCCCCGGAAGAGCTATAGGTGGAGTTAGTTGATAGATAACTGTTCAGTTTTTTCTCATCCGCACTCATATAGGAACGTATAAAATTTTGTTTTACTCACGCTTTGTGCCAAAAAATTTTTTATTAAAAATACCTTGGTTCTAATCCTGTATTTGATATTGTGAAGGTTTGTCGCTAAGGTAGCACAGAACCGAGACTAGTCATTTGATACTAAACGAATTCAGCCTATTTTAGAATATTTTGTGGCTTTTGTAAAAATGAATAAACTAAAAAAATTTCTATAAAAACTTGGTAATTATGACACCTTACCAATATCCCAAGTTTGCATTGTTGCTTTAATTCATTGCTTCCTTAACATGTTGTCGATTTTTGAGTACATTAATAAAAATGAGTGTATAATCTCTCACTTATTTAGACAAACGCTACTCAGGAATCTGAAGACTTAAAATATTGTGTGGCACCTCAGTCCTTACTTTTAGATCCAACTGGAAACCTGGAAGAATTCATCATGAAACCTGCTCCTCAGGTAAATGTATCAGTCTGTAACAGAACTATTTTATATTGTCAATTATCCGGTTATTTCCAAATTGCAATTTTTATGTTCAGTCATTCAACTTAACTACTGTATATAGCATATATACATAAGCGTCTTAAAGAGGAAAGGCAGTACTTTGTAAAAAGCCATATTATTTTCTAGATATGAGACAACTCGGATGTATTTAGATAAATTGATCCTGGAATCGACACATGGGTATCGGATTTAGCTAAATAAATGATGGACGCATTGATTGTAGGTCGCCCCCGCTTAAGTCGGACTTACCATGTGGCTTTTCTCATTTCATGTTTCATATATAATTATGGACCATAGGTGGGAAAATAGCGATGTACGAGAGAGTTGTTAGGTATGAGATAATTTAAACATGATACTTTTTACCAAAATCTTGAAAAACTTTATCTGAAATTCAACTTATTCTACTGTCTCGAACAAAATGTTCCCTGAATACAATGGACCAGTAAAAAACTACATGTTCATACTCATTTTTTGATAATGCAATACTGTTAACGCGGATAATTATGTAATTAAATGTTAGTTTTGTTAACAGTTCATGCATGTCAGTATACTAATTGAAAATCTACCAGCATTCTGTATGTCGCCCCTGCCTGTTGCCCTACCTGTAATCATCGAGTCATTTCACAAAAAGGTATGCCTACCTCTATTATGTATGCTTCACGTTGACTTCCAGAATTTTATCATTGGGAAAATTGGTTAGTTAATTGAGATCAGTTAAAATAGAACAACACTTAAAGGTTAATTTATATTACCTTTGTTATGACTTGACCTAGCCGTCGCCAATTTGTTATGTTTTTGACCTAGGCGGTAGCCAATTGTTATGACTTGATCAAGGTCGTCGCTGATTCGTTATGACCTTACGAATTTAACAAGGACGTAATTTGTGTAAATTGTCCACCAATAGAATACGACTTCTACGACCTTCACACTGTGACAATGACGTTCGATTAGTATGAGTAATCTAGCGTCCTTATTGGCCCTTATCCGCCCAACCCGTCCACTTGAGTCCAAAAACACCAATAGCAGCCTCGGCAATACGAATCGTTTATTCCAAGCATACTTTGTTTATATATCAGACAGACAGGCCACATCATACCATAAAATAGAAAATAATATTTGTACAAAACCAGGCCAAATGAGGCTGTAAGCGTGGGAGACAATAATCAATAAAACTGAGTATAACATAGGGACAGTAAATCATATAGTAATAATCAATAGGTCAAAATAAAGCTTAGATAATCTAGTTACCGAATAGTTATACAATAAGAATGATAGTCCAATAGTAGGTCCTGCAAGTTACCCGTACTTATGTCTTCGCTACTACATAACACCTCCCCTTTTTTGAAGATTCGAAGATTAGCTTCTGATTTTTAAAAAAAGTTATCTGTAAGTTGAAATTCTCCAACATTTCCTCCCCCACGAAATAATGTTGGATCCTCATATCTCCAAAAGACAATTAGTAGGACTTTATTTAGGACATATTCCTCGTATTGAACGCAGAATCTACTAGAAATGAATAGATGATGATGAACGATATTTGATTTTAGGTTATCGGAATTCAGCTTTTCTGAAATATCTCCATCAAATTCATTAAAGTTTTCACTAGAGGATATTAGATAACTAGGAGAATCGGCATCTAATAAAATTGCATTAGATTTTTGATCACCATCTGATTCGACCGACTTATTTTTCTCATCTTTATACTAAATTTCATCAGAATTATGGGCATCATTACGCGAACCCATATTATAGGCTTCTGTCTCCCCATGATTTCGAATCACATTTGGCGCAATTTGGTTAACTGTACTGTTCCAGTTATTTTCTGGAGATGCGTTCTTGCAGTTTTCTTGGCCAACATCACGCAAACTGTAGTTCTGTTCTGACTTAAGTTTGTCTTCAGAGATGGGCGGACTTAATGGTGTTTCGTTTGATTCTGGACTCAGGGGGTTGTCTGCGGAACCTTTTCTTTCTTGCTCATCTGATACTGTCACAGTTTCATGTGCATTAGGCAAGATATTGTCTTGCTCTGAACCGGCCAACTTACCAATTTGCATTTTCCGTCAGATATAAAGGGAATTGAACCCTCAACTTGGCGTTCTTTTGAGACGGCCATTTCCGCACCATTATAAATAATTTCTTTATTTCCTGAGACGTTTTGTTTAGTGAAAAATTTGTCCAAAAATGTTTCAAATGGTTTATGCTGGAAGCTTAACATCTGCTGATGCTGCTCTAATATTATCTGCAACTGTTCCAGAGAAATCGTCATTTTTTTAACTGCTAATAATAATAAAAACGTCAAAAACCGCCGGCAATTATTACAGCTTATTTAATTCCAAAATACGTCACCGACTGCTGTATTTTTTTGTTGTTGCCAAAATCACGTCCCAATTCTTGTATTTTTTTTACCGAAATCCCTGTCGCCAATTGTTATGACTTGACCTAGCCGTCGCCAATTTGTTATGTTTTTGACCTAGGCGGTAGCCAATTGTTATGACTTGATCAAGGTCGTCGCTGATTCGTTATGACCTTACGAATTTAACAAGGACGTAATTCGTGTAAATTGTCCACCAATAGAATACGACTTCTACGACCTTCACACTGTGACAATGACGTTCGATTAGTCTGAGTAATCTAGCGTCCTTATTGGCCCTTATCCGCGCAACCCGTCCACTTGAGTCCAAAAACATTGCTGTCCTTTTTAGGGACCATGTGCAATGGGGATGCCCATGGACTATTCGATGGTCGAATTATTCCTAGGTCCATCATGTGGTTGAATTCGTTTTTAGCTAACCTAAGTTTTTCGGGAGCGAGTCTTCTGGCTTTCGAAAATACAGGTGGTCCTGTAGTCGAGATGTGATGTGTAACATTGCTGGTTACACAAGGTAATTTCGATTGCGATTGGTATATCCCGGGGTATTTGTCGAGTACTGCTTGGTACAAGGGGTCTATGGCGTGCTTAATCGTGACTGGGGATAACCTGCAACCAGAACAAGGAGTTACGCAAACGGACAACTTAGTGTTTCCGTCTATTAACCTTCGTGCGCGTGTGTCGATGAGTAGATTGTGGTGTTGTAACAGGTCAATACCAATGATTGGCATAGAGACATCTGCAACCACGAAAATCCAGTGTATGGGTTTACGTAAACCCACGTTAAGGTAGACGTACCTTTTACCGTAAGTAGCGATCGGCTTTCCGTTTGCCGCCTGTAAACTTAAAACAGACTCGCGAAGTCTGTCGTCGAGATTTGCTGGAAGAACGCTAACTTCTGCGCCAGTGTCGACGAGGTAGCGAACTTTCGTAGTCACATCCGTGACATATAAGAGGCGGCTGTGTTCGCCGGCTACGGTTGCCGTTAACGCGTGCCGGCTGGGAAGTTTCCCGAACTGTTATTCGTGTCAGTCGATTTTGAAGTCGGATACTTGCAAGGTTTTCTGCAATTTCTGGAAAACTTACCGTACTGGTTATGATACCAGCACCAGTCGGGATTGTCTGTCTCTCGTGGTCGAGAGCCAGATCGCTTACGTGAGGCGCTTCTACGCGGGGTTTTTGACCGACTACGGTCATTGCGAACTCTAAGATATCGTGTAAGCGTGTGACATAGTTCGGCCATGTCAGTCGAGGTCGATTGGGGTTTTTCTTTGACGGAAAAAACCTCGGCCTTAGAAGATCTAGTGATTTCCAAGATTCGATCGGCAGATGCAGCTAGTTCATCTATGGCATTTTTTTGAAATGAAACAAGCACTGCCTGCACCTGTTGAGGGAGTTTAGACAAGAAAAGTTGTCTAAATAGGCCATCATCGAAAGTTCGTTGGCCGATGACTTCTCTCATTCTAAGCAACATGTCCGTCGCAGAACCATGTTGCAAGTCGATATTGTTAAGGAGTTGGTCTAACCGTTGTCGATCAGTTAGGTCTCCTCGTTTTAAAATCGATAGCTTAAGCGATTCGTAAGGTTCGGAAACATCACTAGTAAACATACTAGGTGTTACGTACCTGTTAAACTCGCGCGGTAACGCCTTAACTACCGCGAGGAAACGTGTGCGCGAGTCCGTGATTCCGTGCATGCAAAAATCGGCTTTTGCATAGCAGAACCAGGACTCAATATTGTCGGGCCAAAATGGCGTTAACTGAATCGAAATAGGGGGAATAGACTTTAACTTAAAAACCTTGGGTGAGTGTTCCGTCATAGTAATATAGCTAACGAAAATGTCTAATTAAAATATATCCGGAAAAAAAGGTATATCACAATATATAAAATTCAAATAAAGAATAACAATAAATAATAATATTCCAAAATGGAACAGACTCACAGTATATTGACTTGGTGTACCAGATCACGTCGGGTTCACCAATGAAGATGCAACGGATATTCTAGTTTTACAACTAGATACCAGTAGCACCTTCTAAATTCGGTTGTTACCAGTCAGATAGAAATCAGAAGTCGGACGAGAATAGGCAGGAAAGATATATTTGATTCGTTACCAATATATCGAGGACCTTTTCTATGAGCTGGCTAATGAAACGTAGGAGCTGTGTCCCACGCAGTATTGAAACGTGATCTGGTGCGGATGCATGACCGAAAGCCTTCAGCTAAACAAGTCCACTTAAACAACGTGGTCAGCATCCAATGTCGAACACTTAATGAGCTATTGATTTTGGGGAATTATTTACAGCTACAGATCACTCCCCCCCTAGTGAGGTAGTGATGCCCCTAAGACGTGACCAGCCAGAAGTTTAAACCCAACGAATTTGTCGTTGGTAAACACTCTTCTGATAGCTTGCTTCGTTTAGCAGCGTCTGGTCGTCTTTCCTTAAACTATGGGACCAAAATGTACAACGTAGTAAATAAAGAAATATAGTACAATGAAAATTTCTGTTCCTTGCGAAACTTCGTCGTTCTTTTCCAGCCGTCCTGGAAAAGAGGAAAAATAAAACGTGTGAGTGCATGTCAAAAA